CTGTAAAGGGGCCCCCCTGTCCAATGGGGGGCCCCCCGGGGGGCCCCCCAGGGGCCCCCCAGTTCATGGGGGGCCCCTTTGGGGGCCTTCCTCTTGGGGGCCCCCAGGAGGGGCCAATTTTTGGCTCCTAGGGGCCCCCTAAGAAGGGCCCCAGTGCCCTTCCAGAGCAGAGCCATGGGGGCCCCTGGGGGCCCCAGCGGCCCCCAGGGGGCCCCCGGCAGCAGAAAAAGCTGCAGAACTCTGGGGCCCCACAGGGGCCCCCAAGGAGGCCCAGGGGCCCCCAAGGAGTCTCTTGAAAAGCAGCAAAGAAGCAGCAAAAACGACCCACAAAAGCACCTGCGTGGTCGCTGAAACTTTCCTGCTGCTGCTGCTGCTGCTGCTGCTGCTGCGGTTGCTGCTCCTGCTGCTGGGGTCCCAGCAAACTGCAGCCAGCCAGTCCTTCAAATTTGATTTTCTTTGAACTTCAATTGACACAAAACTACTTGTAAAATACTACTTAGAGGCTTACAGACCAAGGGGGCCCCCAGCCTCTCTGCGTTGCCTTGAGGGGATTTATTTGATTGTTTTATTTATTACTTTCATTAATTTGTCTTGCTGCGGTGGGGTTTAGGGTTTGGGTTTAGGGTTAAGACTCCAGGGCTTAGAGTTTAGGGTTTAGGGTTTAGGGTTTAGGGTTTAGGGCATACGGCTTAGGGTTTAGGGTTTAGGGTTTTGGGCGTATAGTCAAGGCGCGATACAAACCTCCCTTTAACTAGGGAGGTACAGCTAGCCACGCGGCATTGCTAGCTAGCCAGTTAGCTAGCCAGCCAGCTAGCCAGTTAGACAGCTGGCTAGCCAGCTACACAGCCAATTGGCGAGCTAGCTAGCTAGCTAGCTAGCCAGCTAGACAGCTTGTTAGCCAATTGGCTGGCTAGCTAGCTAGCTAGCCAGCTAACCAGAGAGGACTGCAGCCCTTTAACTGGGTCCGGAGGATCTAGAAGCAGCACCCCCCGCTTGGTCCGCTACTCAGCTAGCTATTGCCCGCTAAGCTAGCTAGTCAGCCGGCTAGCTAGCTAGCTGGCTAGCTAGCTGGCTGGCTAGCTAGCTAGCTAGCTGGCTAGCTAACTAGCTGGCTAGCTGCTGGATGTCTAATTGTCTAGCTAGCTGGTGGCTGTCTGGCCAGCGAGCTTGCTTACCAACCTGGAGCCAGCTATCTAACTAGCTAGCTAGCTAGTTGCATATCCCTCTAGCTAGCTAGCTATGTAGCTAGCTAGCTACCTATGCAACTAGCAATATGGCTAGCTGGCTAGCTAGCTAGCTAGCTAGGAACGCAGAGGTGCGGCGCGCAAGAGACCAATGGTCCATTCCCCTTTCCCTGTCTCTTTTATCTTTTTTTAATTGTCTTGTTTTTTTGTTTCTTTTTTGTTTTTTTGTTTCTTTTCTTTTCTTTTAATTCTCTTTTTATCTTTTTGTTTTTTGTCTCTTCAGCTCTTTTCAGGTGTATCTACATGGCAAAGGCAGCAGCAAAAGTGAAAAAGCTAGTTTGCTGCAGTTAGCTGCTGCAGCAGCAGCAGCACAGCTGCAGCAGC